AATATTTTTTTTTTCTCAAAAGATTTTTTGACGAATTAGGAGAAAAACATTTCATCGGAATCGCAATTGAGATTTTCTTTTGTTTGAAGAAAATTCGAATAATTTTCTAAAGGTATCCCAGTTGATCTCCCAAAAGAATTTATTCCGTTATGACGGCAAAGCAACACTATTCTTGCATCACTAATTTCATGGCAAAATTGCCTGTGATCGTGTTAATCAAACTATACACACCTAATACCAAAAGCTATAGTTTCGTCTTCCTCTTTTTCGTCTTCTTTTCGCCAGTTTTTGCTTAATTTTTACATTTTTCAAATCTCTTTTATCAGTATTTTAAAGCGCAGCATTATATTAATATTGTCAGAAAAAGCGGGTCCAAGGAAAAGCGGGAAAATTTGATGGAGAAAAAAGAAAAAGATCTGTCTAAACCAATAAATGTAAGAAAGCCGACAATCCTAATCTGCCTACGTCTGGGAATGTATAAATATGTCTGTTGAGGTGGATGTATAAATATTAATTATTTAATTCAAAGTCTTCTTACTGACTGGCTCCATTTCTGATACTAAAAGGCCATGCATACGATTTAGTGGATCCAAACATTCCCTTTATTTTTTTATATTTTTATTGTTTAATTCGTTTTTTCCCCTCTATTGCACATCTTTTCACATATAATATCCTGTATTTCTCTGGTACCACATATCACACTTTACTGTTAAGGGGGTGGAAATGTTGACACATTTAAATCGACGGATCAAAAGTAATTTATCAGTTATGCTGCCTTTGGAGGATATCGTGGAGTTTTTGCGTACCGCCTCAATCAAAGGAAACTCGCTGGGCTTGGTATTTTTTTTTTGCTTTCCTATACTTTTAAAGAGTTATTGTCTTCCGTTGATAACCAGATTATGCATATATAAACTCACAGTCAGCTGGGTGGCGTGCAGGATATCATTACAACCATGTGAGAAAGTAAAATCCGAGGGGGTATGTTGCTCGTCTTGCCGACGCACATTAGTTTGGCGCACATGCATCTAATAGATAATTGGTACCAAATAGGTATCTGGAGGCATACAGCCCGGGATTGAAGGATTCTAGTAACAGTCGCTAAAACGGGATCCCCACATAGATTGCCCGGGCTGTCTTGGCTTCCTGACATTTATAACTGAAATGCGCATGCTTTCGTCTCGTTTATCCTAGTAACAGGATTAGCCGGGCTATCATTATGGAGCTGTCGGTGTTACTGAGATTTTTAATATGTTTATCGTTTTTTGAGTCCCGGATGTTGCTAGCAAGTGCTGGTTTCCTACCATAATCTCGCCGAATATCCCTGTGGGTTTTTTTGGTGTTACTTAGATGCTTGGAAAGAATTTGTTGTCTGGAAAGTACAAAATTATGAAAATCAACAAAATGTACGAAGTATAACA